AATTAGATTGACCATGATTCAACCGTGTCGAAAGCCTTCTGGAAGTCAACGAAGGCTAGGTGTATAGGTACGTTATACTCTGTGCATTTTTATATAAGGGTGCGTACTGCAAATAGGTGGTCTATCGAACTGTATCCCTTTCTAAATACCGCCTGTTCAACCGGTTGGTAAGAATCCAGTTTGATGTTAGGCGATTCGTTATAATTTTTATGAAAATTATGTATAGATGTGATAGAAGGGATATAGGCCTGTAGTTTTCGACACTCGTGTTATCGCCTTTTTTGAACAGTTAGTATAACTTCAGAGTTGCACCATTCAGTTAGTACTTTACCGGCCTGAAGACATTTATTCAACAGTATTCTTATTGTTTTCTGTAGAGTTTTCCCTCCCCGTTTCAGCATTTCTGTATAGTGACTTGGTCTTCACCTGGACATCTGTTGTTTTTCATTTGTTTTAATGTTGTGCTTATTTCGCCCTCCGTGATTTCTGGAAGATCTTCAGATCCGACATTCATGATGTTTATCTTTTTTACTGTTTTTTGAGATTTAGATGAATACAGGTCAGTACAGAAAGTTTCAATCGATTTAATAATGTCGTATTTGTTGTGTGCCTACTATAATATTATTTTCATTGCGCATTTTTGTGATTTTTGTTTTACCTATCGAAAGTTTTTTGTTCAACACTTTCATCCTGCAGTTATCCTTTATGGTTTCCTCTATAAGTTTCACATTGTACAGGGTGATCCAGTATAAAGTGAACACCCCCTACCTTTTCGCTAAAAAATTTTTTTTTGAAAAAATCCAGATAGCCATTTAATGTATTTTGTTTCTACGAATTTGAAAACGTTTTTCGAAATTTAATTACATTCTTCGTTAAAGCGCTGTGACGCCAAAAGTAATTTTTTAAATGGAATAACCTATATTCAAATCAATTTTTTGAACGCCCCCATTTTCCTCATTTTAAATATATAGTTTGTTTATCTTTATTTTAGTAATTTGCGATATATTCTCACTTCAAAATTCACATAAAAATAGCCGAAAAGGTATCATAAAACAAAATAACCAGTAGTTTTATTAAAGGTAAAATTATTTAGGTTTACCTTGATACCTTTTTGGCTATTTCTATTTGAATCTTAAGATTCTTAAGTGAGAATATATTCCAAATTACTAAAATAAAGATAAACAAACTATATATATTTGAAATGAGAAAAATAAGGGCGTTTAAGAAATGGATTTAAATATAGGTTATTCCATTTAAAAAAATTACTTTTGTCGTCACAGCGCTTTAACGAAAAATCCAATTAAATTTCATAAAACGTTTTCAAATACCTAGAAACAAAATACCCTAAATAGCTATCTTGATTTTTTCAAAAAAAAAAAATTTTAGCGAAAAGGTAGGGGGTGTTCACTTTATACTGGATCACCCTGTACATTCTTTTGTCCTTTCTTATTTCTTTCTTGATCTGCTTATTTAAGTCCATATATTCTTGGGTTGTTCTGTCCTCTGCGTTCCTTCTTCTTTCTAGTAGCTTAGTGTGTCTTGACTTAGATTTGCGTCTTTGTGATTTTGTGTCCTTGTGCATATCTTCTTCACCGATGTTTTCACAACACTTGTGATTTTATCTGCGAGTTCATCTATTTTTCCAGCTGCTCCAGATTTATTTTTGTTAATTTTTGATGCAGGTCGTTTTGATATTATGCTTCTTTCAGTTGCAGAACATCGCTAGTAGGATAGCGGTGTTTTTTGAGGAGCTTTTTTCTTTCATTTGCAGTTTCAATTTCAATTTTTGCTTTCACTAGCCTGTGGTCGCTCCCCATATTGAATCTGTTTGGAACCGATCGAGGAACCGATACATTCCTACATATTGTCTTCTTGTTGGAAATGATAAAGTCGATTTAATTTCTTGTTTTGTTGTCTGGGCTGCACCAGGTCCATTTGCGTTGCTTTGGTTGATTGAGGCAATAAAGGTTTTCTTTGTTTAGGTAATTTGTCAGAGTCTCTCCTCTTTCTTTTCTTTCGCTTAATCCGAAATTTTCGATATAGTCCGTATCTCCCTGTCTTCGTTTTCCTATCTTGGCATTTAAGTCTCCCATGATTATTACTAAGTGGGCTTTTTCCATTTGGCGAGCTTTGGCCAGATCTTCGTAGAAACTTTCGATCTCTTCTTCTCCTGCCTTGCTTGTCGGTGCGTAGGCCTGGATGATTTGCAGACTATATCTCTTATTTAAGTTGATCGTTATGTATATGACTTTCGGATATGGCTTGGTATTTAGTTATAGTATATGTTTAAAGTTTTATTTATTATGAGTGCTACGCCTCCAATGTAGTCCCTGTCCTCTGCATTGATCTGATAAAGGGTGTGGCCTGTCTGTAGAGAAGTACATTTTTCCCCGGATAGTCTAGTTTCGCAAATTCCGATCATATCCCATTTTATGTGGTTAAGTACTTTTTCAAACTCTTCGAGGTGTTCCATAGTTCTTAATGTTCTTATGTTGTAAGTGGCGATAAATAAGGCTGCACTGGATTTTAAAAGTTTCTGCCGGAGTGGTTTTCTTTTCGAACTTTTGCTTCCCCCAGAATCCTTGAAGCTGACTGAATGTTCAGTGTGAGATTTTGATTCTTGGACTCTACTCACCTGGGGTAGTTTCGTTTTGAGGTTCGACATTTCATTTCATTTTTGAGAGGTCTTGGCATTTAATACGCCACGCTTGCCGGACGTGTTGGCGAATGGTTTTCTCAGCCGCTCCTAGCATGGAGAACCGACGCTGTTTGCAGCCGTCCATTCTGGATCAGACGCTGCGTGGGAGCATTCTTGGCTTCACCTTTAGCACTTCGAGACCTTACCGGCATGGGTGGCCCTACCAGTGGCTATGCTACCGCCGGCATTGCTCCCTGGCTTTAGATTACTGAGCCCTCTCACCAACGACAAGGTGATAGTTCCCCTCAAGAGGGGAAATTACATATCACAGATGAAATCGACACAAGTTGGAAAGTACTATCCGAAACAATCATAGGGGTAGCAAGACTGACTGTGAGAGAAAAGCCATGAAACAAAAATAGCAACCTTTAGTACGATCCGGTATGTGCAAGGGTACTTAAGAAGAGAAATGATGCAAGACTAGTAATGATGCAGGATCCTACTGAAGACAATAACAGTAAATTCTGACAACTAAGAAAGGGGAGAGGCTAATAAAGTACTAAGGAGGAAAACAGAGAACAACAAGATCAGGAGTTGCAGGAACTCCAGCTCTCCGTCGATGGAAGGAACAATACTAGGAAATTCTATTATGAGACAATAAGAACAAAAAAGAATTGATCTCGGATGAAATTGATAACGCTATTAAAAAGTTGAAAAACAATAGATGAATCTCGGGTAAAGACACGAGAACCGTTGAACTCTTGAAACATGCCAGAAACACAGCCACATCCCAACTACATAAAAAATATCTGGAAAAACGGAAAGATTCCAGAAAACTGGAAAGAAAGCATAATAATCGCGTTACACAAAAAGGGAGACAGAATGATATGATGCAAAAATTATAGAGGTAAATCGCTCATAAATGTAGCATAAAAAGTTCTACCGAATATAATCCTGTCGAGAACGCCCCCATTCACAGAGGAGATAATAGGAGTGCGGCTTTCGGACAGACCGATCAACAACCGACCAACTGCTCACAATTCGGCAGCTACTACAAAAAAACTGGGAATTTATTAGGCAGATACCTACACCAACTGTTTATCGATTTCCAACAGGCCTATATGATAATGTAGAATAAGTTAAGATCAAGGAGACAATGGCAAAATTCGGGATACATCATAAGATTATAAGACCAACAAGAGTTTGTGAAGAAGGTTCCAGATGTAGAGTGAAAGTTGGGAGTGATATGTCGAACGTATTCAGGGAAAATACGGGATTGAAGCAGAGCGCTGTACCCTCTCTTTTCAATATTGCCTTGGAGAAGGTCGTAAGGAACTTCAAACTTGATACAGAGCTCTTCCAAACGAATGGTTCGCAACTAATACTTGCATAATGCAGACGATATTGACTTGGTGGAAACTAGCGTAACAAATAGTAGAGAAACGTTTGTTAAACTGGAGCACGAGGCATCTAAAATGGTTGTAAGGATTAACGAAGGCAAGACCAAATACATGCATATCTCTAGGACAGGTAAAGGGAGAGTGGGAATAGACAATCGGAAAACATCAATAGTAGCATATCAGTGATATACAGACAGAACTTCACTTTAAAAAAAAAAAAAATTTGTTCAGACAATTTGAAGATGTGATCGTAGACTTGTTCTCATGTACCTACTCGAAAATATATCATGGTTTAGGATGTTAATCGGTTCTCTGGATCGTGCCTCTCAAAAATGTGTCAATATGAAAATATAGATCCCAATTCTTCTTAAATTAAAAAGGGCATGCATAAATATTGGCAGACACTGGCGTAGCCTAATTTACTTCTTATGAAACATAATACCTACCTGCAATATGTTATAAGTACTTTTAATTTTTAATAAAATATGCTTTAAAAATACTATAAAAAAAGTATTTACTTATAAAGATTCCGAAGGCGAACCACTGTATAAACCCCAGGGCCTCCAGCCTCCATAATATGAACACCTCAAGCAAAAAAGTAGATAAACTGAAATATGGGGCACTCCCTCTCTCCTTATAAACGTTAACAATCTTGCAGAGTAATTACAGAACATTATTATCTATATTTTACGACTAAATTGCTACTTAATTTATGACTTAATATTATCTTTCGGGATCTCGAATTCGTTCTGGTATAGAATCGGGGCGGTAAGTATGCGCCTAAATGAAATGGTCGCTTCTTTCGAATGGCTACTAGTTTGACTGATAATGGTCTTTAAGGACAAATCTTTATGTCATTGTAATTAATGGAGTTTTAATGGTTTCCTGTACTAAAAGTATTTTTTATTTTTGCCGATCTAAAGTTATTAACCGGTCAGTAAACTGTGGCTTTATAGTCTTACCTTTACATTGTATCAGCGGTACAAAAATTAGGATTTGAAGTAACTGGAGAAAATTGAAAGCCATTCCATTGATCTGAAAAAAAAAAAAATTAGATTTTATTTCTGATATAATACCTCAGTACGTGTAATTTATTCTGATGTGAAAAGCTCAAATTCATTAAAAGCTTCAACTAAGTACTGGTAGTCTTTACTTTGGAACGTTTCAACATTCGTATAGAAGAAATTGTTTTTTAGAATACGAAGATAAGGTTAATTTTTCACATACAATTGAGTAAACTTATGGCCATAATTGCGAAAAAGTAGAACAATCTTGAAATTACATGTTACATTTCATTTTCCTAAAAAAATAAAGTGCAACACAATGTAAAATATTCCTATGGTTGAATTAAATAACGAATCTTGGGCCTGAGAATGTGCAAGTGGAGTGAGTACCTAATCCGGTTTCTTTAACAGTTCTTCTCTGATAGTGTCTATTACATATTACATATTTTATAAAGTTGAATATATCTGATTTGACCATATATATTTTGCATACAGACTTTAATAAAACAGTTGGCAACCTTATATTTACAGCAGCCAATTATTCAATAATTTGTAAAATTACACGAATTACTTGCTAATTAATTTTATTTGTGATGATAGTAATTTGTACAGTTAAGCGGTTGAAATACTTATAAACCAAGAAGTAACTGTAGATGATATTAAGTCTCATAAATAATGAAGTTAGTAATTTAATTTATATAGGCATACTCAACTTATCATTATCTACTCCTCTTTCGTATGAACTATCGTATTAAACCATATTTACGTTTTCTTAAATAGGATTAGATTTTCAAGCTGAATTAAATTCACTTCTTGTATTATATGAGTTAGAATCTATCGGTTGATGCCAAGTTGGCTGTTTGGTATTAGTGATTCATTCGCCATTCTGTTCATTACAGTCATTTTGGAAGAGTTGATATTGATCAGGAAATAGATGGGACTTTCTATAGTTTCAGATTAGTTCACCAAACACAAAGTCTGAAGTAGAATGGAAACTTTTGCCTCTAGGGCTTTGAATCATTTCCTAATAGGATCTTTTAAGAATTTGAATTACTATGGAGTAATCATAAAAGTAGGAACTTCAAGGGAAATAATATTGCTGGGAGACTTTAACGGACGAACAGGAATGAAAATCAACGACAAGGTGTTCGGAAAATTTGGAGAGAATGTAGGTAACAAATAATAATGGAGAAAGGCTCATATCAATATGCCAACAAAATAACCTGAAAATCCTAAACGGTTACTTCCAGCATAAAGAAATACATAAGTACACATGTAAAAATGAAACCAGACAACAAAAATCGATCATTGACTACACTATCGCAAAACAGAGCTCGAACATAAAATTCAAGGATGTGAGAGCATATAGGGGAGCGACCTGTGGAAGCGATCACTACCTCCTGGATGTTTGTTTTCAGGTGGCCGGATCCTCGGGCCAGGGAGTAGAGCTCCCCGATAGAACGAATGTTTTGTCCTTGTCAACGTTATAGAAAAGTGAACAAGAATGATAAAGACGAAAAATTTGTTCTCTCGGGGAGCTCTACTCCCTGGCCCGAGGATCGGCCACCTGAAAACAAAAATCCTTATCCCGGGCAGAAACACCGCAAAAGAAAATGGAATGGAAAAACAAGAAGACAAAATTGTGCCTAAGAGATACAACCTAAAATCTCTAGAAGAGCAAAGCGTAAAGGGGTTGTACATGAAGAGATTGGATCAAAAATTACAGAGTAGTATAAACTTCCAAAACCTAGAAATGCATTACCAACATATCAAAGAGAGTATTCACAGTGCAGCATTTGAAGCCCTAGGCAAATACGAAAAAAACGGAAGAAGGCCCTCACCCTATTGGTGGGATCAAGAAATAGAGAAAGACATAGCAGATAAAAGGAAGAAATACCAACAGTATCTAAGTTCAAAGGAGACACGGGACAAGGAAATATATAAAGAAGCACAAGCAAGAGTACGGAATAAAATAATACAGAAAAAGAACGAGTCATGGGAAAGAAACTGTGCGCATATCAATACTTATCTGGGGGGTAAAAGAAACACAAAAAGTTGGAGATTACTCAAAAACATGAGGAAAACACAAACTAAGGATATTATCAATACAATAACACCCCAGAAATGGAAAGAGTACTTTGAAGAATTACTGACAGAACAGTGAGCAGAGTTTAAAGAAGAAAGGGAACAGACACGAAACATAAAAACTGCAGGATCACCTACAAGAGTTGTGCAGGAGGAAGTTGGAAAGCACTGTAGCTTCTTGAAGAACGGTAGGGCACCAGGCCCAGGAGAAATATATGGAGAACTGATAAAGTATGGGACCAATAAACTTTACAAACATTTAACAAAACTATTTCAAACATGCATAGATAGACATGAAGTACCGGAAGAGTGGAAAATAAGCTATTTAACAACGATATATAAAAAAGGAGATAGAAACAAATGCGAGAACCACCAGTAATTAAAGTAAGTAAGTAAGTAAATTGCAGTAACAAACACACTGAGCAGAGTGTATGGAAAACTCATAAAAGCCAGAATAGAGAACGAGTTCAAAGATAGTGAGGCAGAAGAACAGGCCGGTTTTAGAGCAGGAAGATCAACTGTAGAAACATTTATTTAGTTTGACCCAGGTAATAGAAAAGAAACTAGCGTATAACCAAGAACTCCATTTACTCTTTGTAAATCTAAAGAAAGCATATGACAATGTTCCGCTGAAAAAGCTTTGGAAAGCACTGGAAAAAACCAATATCAATTTAAAAATAATAAAGGCAGTAAAAACCCTCTATAGTGATGCAAAGACCAAGATTAAACAGGGAAACATGATCAGTAAAGGCTTTATAGCAACTAAAGGACTTAAACAGGGATGTTGCATATCACCAGCGCTTTTCAAAATATACTTAGAGCAAGCGCTTAAGGGGTGGAAAAACAAATGCAGACACATGGGAATACCGCTCAATGAATACAATTTATATACTTTAAGCTTTGCACTCTTTGCAGATGATCAAGTAGTAATTGCACAGGACTATGATGACCTAGAGTACATGACACGAAAACTGATAGAGGAATACGAGAAATGGGGTTTGGAAGTAAATCTAACTAAAACAGAATATATGACTATAGGAGGTGAACAGCAAACTCTGAAATTGAATAACGGACGAGAAATAAAACAATGTACTGAATACAAATATTTGGGCATGAAAATCTCACGTGAGGGAACCCTAGACGAAGCAATTAAAGACCGGAATATACAGGGACGCAAGGCAATATCCCTACTAAATGGTGTACTTTGGGACCAAAATATCAACAAAACTAACAAAACTAGAATATACAACACCATAGTCAAAAGCATAGTCACATATAGCTCAGAAGTCTGGCCACTAAAGAACAGAACCGCAAAAATGCTGGAAGCAACTGAAATGGACTTTTGGAGGAGATCCGCAGGCAGGTCAAAGATGGAAAGGATAACAAATCTGAGAATAAGGGAAATTATGGATATAAAGGACAAACAGCTAATTTGGTTCGGACATGTGCAAAGAATGGCAGATACAAGGATACCCAAGCAAATTATTGAGTGGAAGCCAGGGGGAAGAAGAAGACGCGGCAGACCAAGAAGGAGCTGGAGAAGTGGAGTAGACGAAGAAATGAGAGACAGAGGCTTAGAAGAGGATGCCTGGATTGAGAGAGATGGTTGGAGATCGGGAATCGGAAGACGTAGAACATTATATAAACCGATAATTATATATATAATTACTATGGAGAATTGATTTGCGATTTGAGGGAAGTATGAAGAATATCTGCCCACCCTAACTAGACAAATAATTGAAAAGATTTAGTGCTTGGGTTACAACCCTACGCATAGTTTACTGGCTTTATACAGCAGTGATAAGGCCAATGAGCTTAGTTTGGTGGAACGCGCTTAGCAAATCTACCTCAGGGCAAAGCTGGAAAGCATCGGGAACTGAAACTGAAAAACTCTAATCCTAATGCCTGATTCAAGGACAAAGAAAAATGTTTGCTTGGAAAAGCTGAAAATGATAAAGATAAAAAAAACAAGTGTTGAAAATAGAACCAAGTTTTCGTGTTTCTATTGCAACAAACAGTATTCTATTTATAAATGCGACGAATTTATTGCTTTACCTCTAAAAATCAAAAAAGAAAATATAAAGTTTTAAAAACTTTGTGCAAACTGTCTGCAAAAGGGTCATGAGGTTATTCAATGCAGACACGGCTCTTGTCGACATTGCAATGAAAAACACAACTCATTATTACATTATTTTCAGAAAAAAACTACAACTAATATTGCAAGGGCGAATCTAGGTCAAGGCTTAGATTCAGAACAACAGAATTTGGATCAGGCCGATCCAGTAACTAAAAATGACCAATCCACGTCATGCAAGGCTTCCTATAATAGTCAAATTTTGCTTGCCACGACGTTGGTGGAAGTAAAAGACTCCTCTGGTTATTTTCATGTTTGTAGAGCTCTACTAGATAGTGGCTCGATGTCCAATTTCATTACGTCAAATCTAGTAAAGAAGTTGCAATTAACACAACATTCAGAAGACATTTCCATTAGTGGCATTGATGAGGCAGAAGCTCATGTGTCAAAGTCATGTCAGATTTCATTAAAATCATTACATTCGAATTTTCAAATTAAACTCAAATGTTTGGTGCTATCTCGCATCACCGATAATCTTCCTTCTATATCATTAGATGCAAGTTCACTCGATATACCATCTTACATTCACCTTGCCGATCCGAACTTTCATGAATCCAGTGAAATCGACATTCTACTTGGCGCAGGTATATTTTGGGAATTTTTTGTAAAGGTACCAAGCAATTAGGCCCAGAGAAACCATTTTTGCAGAACAGCAAACTTGGGTGGTACATTTCAGGACCTTTGGGCTCAAATTCACAGCAAAATACATTCGGCAATTATTTTTCTAAAGATATCCAGACTCAATTAGCCAAATTTTGGGAACTCGAGGAAGTTTCTCCAAATGCATCACATTTGTCCGATGAGGAACAGTA